TGGACGCCCAGCTGGCGATGGAGAAGGCCACGAAGACGCACTACGAGGGCGTGGCGAAGAAGAAGGAGGCCGAGCCTGCTGCGGAGCCGCAGCAGTCGGTGCTGGACTTCGAGTGTGCGGACGCGCTGTGCGAGCTCGACGACTACGAGGACGGGCCCATCAAGGAGGAGGTGGCCCAGTTCCGCGCGACCCTGCTGGAGATCCAGAGGCAGGGGCGCTAAGCGGAGCAGCAGCGCGCGGCAGCGGAGCAGCAGCATCGAGAGGCCTCCGAGCGGCTCTACCAGCAGGCGGAGGCCCACCAGAAGGACCTGCTGGAGAAGGCCTCGCAGCTGCGCTGCGTCTGCCGCAGCTCACGAAGAAGAGGAAGGTGGGCGACGCTGGGGGCGCCGAGGCCGGGCCCGGCGCGACGGCGGCCACGGCGCAGTCCGGCTCTGGCGGAGGGGCGGGCGCGTCTGGCCCCCCAGAGGCGGCGGACGCCCCCGAGGCCGCTGCCGCCCCACCCGCCTCCCAGGAGGAGCTCACGCAGCGCCAGGCGAAGCTGGACGAGCTGCGCGCGCGCACTGCGGCGGAAGTGGTCAAGGGCGGCGGCAAGGGGGCTGGCGCCGCTGCTCCTGGGGCTGCTGCTGCTAAGCCAAGTGGCGCTGGCGGGGCCAGGAAGCCGCCGCGGCCGCATGTTTGATGAGCGCGACTCGCGCCACATCTTCTTCGCGAATGTGGAGAAGTGGGGGCCTCAGGCCCACAAGTTCCTGAACGAGTTGAACCACAAGAAGGGCGAGTTCGCAGTGGCGGCGATGTGCGAGACGCACGTCGCGGCCGCTGGCCAAGGGAAGCTCCTCAGCGACCTGGACAAGGACGGCTGGAAGTGCAGCCACACGGCGGCCCTGGCGACAGGGAAGAGCGCTGAGGGCTGCAGCGGAGGTGAGCTGGTGGCGACCCGCCGCAGCTTGGCGGCATCCACCTTCGACCACGTTAGAGCAGCGGCGAGACTGAGGGGAGGAGAGGACCCCTTCAGAGGCTTCTCGGCGATGACGCTGCACGCGAAGGCGGGCAACTGCGTGATGGTCTCGGCGTACATGGTGCCGCGGTGGGGCCCAGGGTCGCCCAACCAGGGCAAGCTGGCGTCGCTGGCGGCGTTCCTGGCGGCCATTGAGGACCCGTGGGTCGTGGCGGCTGACTGGAACCTGGAGCCGCAGCAGCTGGTGGCGATGGGGTTCCCCACCAAGGTTGGGGGCACGGTGGTGACGCCCCGGCACACCACTGTGACGTGCTCCAAGGGCGCGGGCTCGCTGATCGACTACTGCTTGGTCAGGTCCGACTTCGTGCAGAGCGTGGAGGTGAGGGCGTTCTTGGAGGTGCCGTGGCGTGTCCATTGCGGGTTGGACATCACCTTGAAGGGCTCCAGCGAGCAGTGGTGGGCCCGCGCGCTGGTGGTGCCGAGGGGGCTGCCCCGCGCGCAGCGGCCCAGGCGCGCAGCGGACCCGGACAGCAAGACGAGCAGAATGAAGCAGCGCCGCTTGGAGGAGCGGCGTGCCAGGCTCCCAGAGGTGCTCCGGGAGGCGTTCACCGAGCTCCATGAGGAGGAGGAGGACGCAGCCCCAGCGGCACCGACGGTGCCGTTTGCGATCACCGCGGGGCAGTGGAATGCGGTGCTGCCGCGGGAGCCCGAGCCCTACCTGGCGGAGACGGCGGCCATGGACGATCACCTGGCGTACCAGCGGCCTGGGGTGCAGGAGCAGCGCCTGTCGCAGCGGTACGGGGACTGGGTGAGCAGGGTGGAGGAGGCCGTCCTGAACCAGCACGAGGTATGCGAGGCTGAGCGCTCGGCGTACAGAGGGCGGGCCCGAGGCTACGCGGTGGCGTGGAAGAGGGTTCGTTCTACCCCGGGCAGGGCGCACATGCGATGTCACAAGGCGGAGAAGATGAGCTTCTGCGCCACGCTGGTGCAACGCTACCACAGCCTGATGTGTAGCAAGAAGAATGAGCAGCAGCGGGTCTGTGTGGCGGCGCGGTTGAGCGGCCTCGTGACGGAGCTCAAGGGCCAGGGCCTGCTGAGCTTCTTCGGCGATGACGGCTGCATGGACATGTGGTGCGAACAGGTCCAGGCCATCAGGGCCCTCAACCGGCCCGCGCGGGAGCAGCTGCAGGAGACGACTGACCAGTTGGCGGCGAGAGGCCAGGCGAGGGCGCTTGGCGAGTCACGTCGGGCCTTCACCAAGTGGGCCAAGACGGCGTGGCGCGAGCACGCGGGCCTGCTCCACCAGCATGTGAAGCCCGACAGGCCGATCGTCAACGAGTTGGTGGTGGAAGGGCCAGGGCGCGTGGAGCTACTCTCGCAGCCGAGCCAGATCATGGACAAGAGGGCCGAGAAGTGGGGCGCCCTCTGGCAGGACACCTGCAGCTTCACGGGGCGCACCGACACCGGCAGGGAAGTCCAGGAATTTTCCGGAAAATCCTGGACTTGCCGGGGGGTAGATGAGAATCTCAGGCTCCAGCTGATCAGGACACTGGAGGTGGCCAGGGAGGAGGACTACCCGCCGCTGGAGCTGGAGGAGTTCACCACTGCCCTGCGGTCCATTGGCGGCACGAAGGCGGGGGGGGTGGACGTCCTGAGCTCTCTTGACGTGGACCGCCTGCCCGAGGCGGCCAAGCGGGACCTGACCGACCTGGCCAACGAGTGCGAGCAGGAGGGATGCTGGCCGCGGCAGTGCATGGCGGTACTGGCGGCGGCCGTGCCCAAGCCTGCGGGCGGCGACCGAGTGTTGGGCATGATCCCGCTGCTGCAAGGCCTGGAGCAAGGCTCGAGGTGCCATCGTCTGGACCTGGACGGAGGAGCTGGGCGCCTTCTGGGACGGGGCGATCAAGGGCAGCTCCTCCCTGCGCGCTGCCCTGTACAGGGCGGTGCTGGACGAGGTCGGCAGGGAGCTGCTCACGGCCTCGGACACCCTGCTGCTTGACCTGCAGACCTTCTACGACACCATCAGCCTCGTGCTGCTGATGGAGCTGGCGGTGGAGGTCAAGTACCCTGCGATCGTCGTGGCCATGGAGGTCCAGCTCTTCTTGGCGCCGAGGCTGCTGAAGGACCGCCACCACGGGCTCAGCATGGCCATTTACCCGACGCGCTCGGTGGTGGCGGGCTCGGCGAGGGGAGTGAGCCTGGCCAAGGTGTATATGCATCAGGTGCTGCAGCGCGCCCACCAGGTGGCGCCGTCCTGCGGCCTCTGGACCTTCGTGGACGACACGACGGCGCGGCAAGAGGGCTCCAAGAAGGCCGTGGTGCAGGGGCTCAAGGAGGTGGGCCGGGTCTTCGAGCAGGGCTTCGTGGTCGAGAGGGGCCTGACCATTTCTGAGAAGACGCAGGTGCTGGCGTCGGACGCGGAGCTGGCGCTGGAGCTGCGAGGGGCCTTGTCCACGCGCGCGCTGCCTGTCAAGGCCGTGCAGACGGCGGTGGACCTGGGCTGCGACGCGGCCGCTGGGCGACGCCGATCGTGCCGGAAGATCGGCGCCCGATTTCGCGCGGGCCGACTGCGAGCTGGCAAGATCAAGCGCGTCAGGCAGCGCGCGGCCCTGGCGCTGGAGGCCAAGGGGCTGTGGACCACGGGGGCCCTGCCACAGGCTGCCTACGGCAGCCAGCTGCAGGGCCTGGCGCCGTCGCGGCTCCAGGAGCTGAGGCGACAGGCGGGCGCGACAGCAGGTGGGCAGGTGGGCGGCCGCTGCCTCACCACGGTTCTGGCGACCACCGTGGGCGAGGACCCGGGCATCGGCCTGCGCCTGCAGCTGCTGGACTCCTGGCTGACGCTGTGGGAGACGGCGCCCGAGCTGCACGAGCGCATCAAACGGGCGTGGGGCCGAGTTCGGCAGGCTCTCGTCGCTGCTGGCGGCCGCCGCTGGTGCAGGGTCCGTGGCCCGCTGGGCGCTGTCCAGGCGACGCTGATGGACATGGGCTGGGAACCGACCAGTGCGGGCCGCTGGATTCGGCCCGAGCACCAGGGCGACTGGAGCGTCCAAGCGACGCGAGCTGGCGGCGCGCCCTACACCGAGTGGCACCTGGTGCAGGCGGGGGACGAGGCCTTCGGCTCCTTCGTGGATCACCAGGCGCTGCTCCACGACGCAAAGGAGGACATGCGGCACCAGTACTGGCGCCAGGCGGCTCGCCATGAGGGCGGGGCGAGCCTGGCGGGCGGCGCGGACCCCTCGCAGATCGTGCTGGAGCAACGGCGTTTCGCCCGCCGCCACCAGTGGGCGGAGTGGGGCCTCAACGCGGCGGTGACGAGCGGCGGCCAGTGGACGCGGAGGCGCAGGCGAGCTGCGGGCTACCTCGTCACCGAGCTGTGCCCGCGGTGTGAGGCCGCTCCTGAGACGCTCGAGCATCGCATCTGGCAGTGCCCGGGAAACAGTCTCGAGCATCCAGAGTTTCGGCAGTCTGAGTGTCTAGTGCCCCAGGCCTTGGCGGGCCTCGAGAGCGACCCCGCGATGTGGCTCCGAGGGCTCCCCCCAGAGGCTCTCACAGTGCCCCGCTTTTCGGATGAGGCCCTGGCGGACCAGGAGCTCACCTTCGGGGTAGGGGCCCTGGACGACTATCGGGTGGAGGGACGGGTTACGGTCTTCGGGGACGGGTCGGGAGGGAAGCACTCGGACGACCCGAGGCGGCGGCGCTGCGGAGCAGCGGTAGCGACCATCCAGTGGTGCCCGCATCGCCAGTTCTGGAAGCTGGGCCGCATGAAGGCCGTCCCTCTCATCGGCCACAAGCAGTCTGTTCCGAGGTCGGAAACCTTGGCCCTGGCCATGGCCCTCGAGGGCACGACGGGGGACCTTTTGTTTGTCACGGACCACCAGGCCCTCCTGAGGGCCTGGCCCAGGCGCTCCAAAACGGACTCGAGGGGTGCCAACGAAGATTTGTGGCATCGAATTCGCCGTGCGTTGCGCAGCCGTGGCACGGGCTCTGTGGAGCTCGAGTGGGTTCCGTCCCATGCAGAATGCGATGGGGCGCAGCTCGGAACGGAGCGCGAGGCCTTCCTGGCAGCCGGCAACGCGGTTGCTGATATTGGGGCGGGGAGGGCGGCGGAGTGGGCGTCGGAGGTTGGCACGGTGCACGCGGCCGAGCATGGTGACCAGTGGGATGCAGTGGGATGCCGCGGCCTTGGTGAGGCGACGCGCCCGCAAGGCACTCCAGCTGGCCCTCGAGGTAGATTCGGCCAAGGCGGAGCGGGTAGCCAAGCAGCGAGTGCCCCCCCCCTCGAAACGGCGTGCGGCCATCGAGAGCTCGGCCCACTCGCTTCGCCCAGTCGGCTCGAAATGGCAATGCAGTGTCTGCCAGCAGCTTGTTCATAAAGCCTCCCTCCTTGAATTCTGTGCTACCCCGTGCCAGGTGCCAGTGCAGTCCAGGCAGTGTCGGGAAGCGCAGGTGCCGTGTGCGAGCAGGGAGCCCCAGCAGGGGGTTGCTGCTGACATCCACCCGTCCCATAAGCGCGGGTGGTGGGGGGCCTACTCCCTCCACTACTGCCACAAGTGTGGCCGTGTGGCCACGGTTGATTTCAGATATCTGAAGAAGCAGTGCCCTGGCAAGACTGCCAAAGGGCGGGAGAATTTGTCCAGGATTGCCAGGGGGCTCTATCCCAGACGGGAAGGAGCCCCCAAGGCAATCCGCGAGGCTGCGTTCCTGGCCGAGGTTGAGGAGGCCGTCCAGCAAGCCGCCGCCCGCCGAGAGCTCAAAGCTGGTGGGGGAGCGTGTCCCGCGGGGTCCGGTGGGGCGGAAGGGCCAGGAGCAGCGAGTACAGTGCCGAGCCAGGCTGCGTCTCTCGATCCTGAGGAGGAGGCGGCGGCCTGGTTGTTTTCGGAGGGTGGGTCGAGTAGTGGGGCGGCCCCAAGCCGGAACCCTGCTGTTTCACGGGGTGCCCCGACACAGGCAGGGAAGTCCAGGAATTTTCCGGAAAAACCTGGACTTGCCGGGGGGTGTCTCGACCCAGGCCCAGCTTTGCCGCCTCCCGCGGCGCCGTGAGCTGTAGGTGCATGAGTGTGTCTGGAGGGCCCCTGCTGTGCCTGGTGTTGGCTTCGGCTCTCACCAGGGGTGGCTCGGTGGTCGCTCGCGCCGCCTGAAGGCGCTCTTTTAGAATCCATCGCTAGAATCCTCCTCCTCCTCCTCCTCCTCCTCCTCCTCCTCCTCCTCCTCCTCCCCCTCGTCCTCCTCCTCCTCCCCTCCTCCTCCTCCTTCCCTCCTCCTCCGTCATGATTATTAGTATTACTATTACTACTATGATTCGAATGCTCATCCTCGCTAGAATCTTACGCCCTCCTTCCGCCTCCTCTCCTCCTCCTCCTCCTCCTCCTCCTCCTCCTCCTCCTCCTTCTCCTCCTCCTCCTCCTCCTCCTCGTCTCCTCCTCCCTCCTCCTCCTCCTCCTCCTCCTTCTCCTCCTTCTCCTCCTCCTCCGGAGACCTCTCCTCTCCTGCTCCTGCTCCTCCTGCTCCTGATCTCGGAGGCATCGAGGGCCTGGCTCCATCCTCAACATGGGGCTCCTCCTCCTCCCCTTGCACTCCGCCTCCTCCTCCTCCTCCTCCTACTGGGATGGGGGTCCTTGGTGAGGGTGTTAGCTTTGTTCCTCCTGATCGGGCTACGGCCTCCTCCTCTCCTCCTGCTGTCCTCCTGCGGCTCGAGCCTCCTCCTGAATCCTCTCCTCCTCCCCTCCTCCTCCTGGCCTCCAGGTCCTCCTCCTCCTGCCTGCCTCCTGCTCCTGTCCTGGAATGCCCTCCTCCCCAGCCCTCCTCTTCCTCCTAATCTTTCCTCCTCCCTCCTCCCTCGTTCTCGCCTCCCCCCTCCGAGCCTCTCGACGCCTCAAGGTGCGGCTGCCCGCCTCCAGCAGGACCACACCGACCTGGCGGCCAGGGCAGGGGAGGGCCGCCAGACGACCACACGCACTCGCGCCCGTCGCCAAGCTACGCTTCCTGAGTCCTCCTGAGTCTTCCTTCTCCTCCTCCTCCTGAGTCCTCCTCCTGAGTCCTCCTCCTCCTACTGCGTCCTCCACCTCCTCCTCCTCCTCCTCCTCCTCCTCATCAACTCGATCCGCATCCTCATACAGCTCCTCCCGCCCAGCCTGTCATCATCATACTCTGGGATGTTCATCACCAGCAGACTCATCAGTCCAAGTCGTCGGCCTCCTCATCCCCCTCTCCTCGAAAGACCGACTCCTGGCACAAAACAAGGAGGAGACAGAGAGGAGATGAACGGCTCGAGGAAGGCGCGGTGGGGCAGGAGCCGTTTTCGACGGGCCCTCTTTTGAAGGCGCCCAGGGAAACACACACACACACAACACACACAACACACACACACACCACACACACAACGCACACACACACACACACGCGCACACACGCACACACGCACACACGCACACGCACACGCACACGCACACGCACACGCACACGCACACGCACACGCACACACACACAGATCCCAGCATTCAGTTATATGTATGTTTGGGTATTGTCTATATGTCCGTCCTCCCCTC